CTTGTCCTCTCCCTCCCTGCCCTTGTCCCAAGTCCCTCCCCAGCTTTCCTGGAGCCCCTTCAGGCACTGGAAGGTGCTCTAAGGTCTCCTCAGAACCTTCTTTTTCCAGGCTGAACATCCCCAACTCTCTCAGCCTGCCCCAGAGCAGAGCTGCTCCAGCAGCTTTTGACCACCTTTGTGGCCCATCCCTGGACCCTCTCCAACAGGTCTGTACCTTCCCTGCTCTGAGGGCCTCCCAAGCTGGACACGGTGCTCCAGACACCCACGCTCATCCCCATCCCACCTTCCCTTTGCCCTCCAGCCCCGCCGCCACCTTCGAGGTCCAGCTTGACCATGCCAGTGTCATCCTCCAGCTCGTTGGTGACCTCGCACTCGTAGCGGCCGTAGTCCTGCAGGGTGACGTTGCGGATGATGAGCGAGGCGTCCCCGGCTCCGTCCTCCTGCAGCGCCGTGCGGCCCCGGTAGCTGCCGAACGCCCGCCGGGCCTTGCCCAGCGCCACGAAGACGTCCACGAAGGCCATGGGCTCCGTCACTTTGGTCCATTTCAGGCGGATCTCGGCGGGGTCGTGGGCGGACACGTCGTAGTGGTAGCGGCAGGGGAGGATGATGGTGCCACCTCGGTGTGTCACCACCTTCCCCGGGGCTGTTTGCACCACCACGGCCCCGCTGTCACCCTCTGCAAGGGACATCAAGCTCAGGGGAGTCCCTGCCTTCAAGCGTGTCCCCTGCACACGGGCAGGACCCATGGTGGGGTCAAGGCAAGCTGGGGGCGTGGGGCCGGCAGGGGAATTTCCCTCTTTTGGGGGTAATTCCCTTCTTTTGGGGACTTTGAAAACTCCAGGGAGGGTTGGGCGTCTCCCAGCCAGGGCGGAGAGGACACAATGGATGTCCTGGAGACCCTGATGACACTTGAATGGATATTTAACCTGATGGCTGCAGGATGGCTCCCCCTGTCCCACTCCAGGGGGCCCATCCTGGCCCCCCACTGCAGACCCCAACCTGGACCCCCACCGTGGACTCCCCTCCCCACTCACCCATGACGTGAACCACCTTCTTGCGTCCCCGGGCGCTGGGCAGCGGGTCGGAGGTGAGAACACTGGCAAGGAGCAGCAGAGCTGCTGGGCCAGCAGCCCAGGGACCTCGGGGATGCATCTGGGGAGGGGGGAGAGCAGAGCCCCTTAGCACCCTCCAGCCCCCAGGAAGGGGTGTCATTGCCTCCCCCCCCACTGAGCAGCCCCTGCCCGTGGGGACCCCCTGGCCTGTGCTGGCTCTGAACTCGGGTTCACCCTCTCGGTTACAGCCAGGATGAATATTTCATGGCAGACTCGTCGGGTTGGATCTGGTGAGTTATTTATGTCAGCGTTGGCACATCTGGAAACTGAACTGATGGTGTGGGAGGGGGCACGGCTGCCAGAGCCCCCCCGAGTCCCCTCAGCTCTGCCCAACACCATATTCCCCCATTCCCCGGGGACAGGTGGGGGGAAATGTGCTGGAGTCCTTCTGGCCCCCCCGGGGCAATTCCCGCCCCGAGTCCTGTGTTCTTGGGGATGCACCAGAT